CTAGTTGTCTATTCCAGTTCAGTCTGAAGCATAGCTTCAACCAGTATACTTTCTCAAACTATTGCTAGTTGCAGTAGCTCAGTCTACAAGTCTAGTTCTAGTATAGTGCATTAGCCTTACGTGTAGCAGTACCTTTTGTCAGTAGTTGTCTTAAGTGTAACTCCTGATCCTCAGTCGTCAGGTCCCTTAACATTAGGACAAAACTCTCCTAGGATCACTAGTTCCTAGTCGCAGCAAGCCACAGTGGCTTCTACAGCAGTAGGACAACCAGCAGTAACCAGGTCTCAAGCAAGGCAACTTCTTTGCTTCAACAAAGTACACACCTACAACAGGAACGAAAGAACCAATTAGTGGAATAATGGTTCTTCTTGGCAGTATTGTGCCGATTCATTTTGTCCAAACAGGAAAAGAGATAAAACTATCCCTGCACCAACAGCAATCTTAGCTCCTATCAGAAGTAAAGAAGATCGTCACTCAGTAATACCCCCACTAGCAGAGAAGTCTTCTCCTGTACCATCATACCTTATTCCTACTGTAGCATCATCTAGTAGAAGTATAGTAGCTCCTACACCTCACACATCGCCACTCCAGCTAACTGTTAAGGGACCTAATGATAGAGGATCAGGAGTTCAACTGTTTAACTGTTACTAGGACTTGTACACGCTATAGTCCTACACCAATACTAGAGTGCAAACTGAGCCGCTATATCTGATAGCAGTTTGAGAGCGTATACTGGTTGAAACAAGTTCAGACTGAGACTGAATAGACAATTGGGTCTATTACTGAGTATGTCCCTATGAAGGTACGTAGGGAACAAGAGGACAACAAAGAAGTACAGTAGCGGAAGTGGTGCTACTTAAATAGGCAAAGCAAATAGAGTTTAAGAAGTCTGAAACACTGAGTTGGATCAGTGATGTACATGAAACAGGTTTCACTGGGTTGTATCAGTGATGAAGATAAAACGTGATAAAGATGAAACATGATGTAAGTAAAACATGATATAGATGAAACATGATAGATATGAAGTACTGATGTAAGTGAAACACATCAGTTGATGGGATCAGTCATACAGTTACAGGGTTTAACGACAAATAGTTAGGAAAAGAAAGGAAAGGAAGAGAAAAGAAAAGAAACCCCCCACTCAAGCTGTAACACTAACCACCAAACCCTTGCCAAGCGAGTTGACAAACACCAGTCCTACAGTCAGAGCCAGTTTCTTCTCAGGAATCTTTGATTCACCTGAACCAGTCAACCCACCAGTCCCAGTCAAGGAACAACACCCAGTCCCTGAACCAACAGAACCCAAACCAGACCCACCTAGGTCTCCAGTCAATCCCAATCCAGAAGAAGACCCTGCCAACAGACACCCAAACAACCCAGAAGACAGTAACCCGGAACCTAGCAATCAAGAAGACAAAGGAGACATGTCTGACAACAACAGCGGAGCGGTAAACAAGCCCAATTAATTCGAAGGAGACAAAGGAAAGAGCAAGGAATTCCTGGATGAGTTATACCTGTACTTTGCTGGAAATTCCAAGAAGATCCAGACTGATAAAGATAAGGTTCAATGTGCTCTTTCCTATATCAAAGGACCTGCCCAATTCTTCGTTCATACAATCATCACTGATACAAAAGAACCCATATCTGATTCCAAAGATGCACCTCTCAAAGGATTGCCCAGCTGGGCTAACTTCAGGAAGTCTTTTATCCAGACCTTTGGAGTCAAGGACAATACTCAGGCAGCACTAAACAAGATCAGCAAATGCACCTGGGTAAAGTGTGGAGGGAATGGTCTCCGATTTGTCACAACTCTCCAACCTCTCTTACAAGCTAGCAGATTAAACAAATTAGGGCAAATTTGAGAACTCCAACGCCTCATCCCTCCTGCTCTTCTGATCAAGATTGCTGCTCAACCACCATTACCAGTCACTGCAGTTGGATATCTCAACAGCGTCCAATCTATCTGCCAATTTATGATCAACATCTTCGGTGATAAACCTTTATTCATGCTATCTGCCAATTGCTCTTTCAGTCACAACAAGTTTGTACGCCGCAATTGGGCCATTGAGACCAGGGATGGATCATCAAAGGAAGTATCTGTTAAGGGACCTAACGACTGAGGATCAGGAGTTCAACTGCTAAAC